CATACTGGTCTGCAAGACACAGGAGTCTGTCTGGGACGTGACAAGGAAAGCTGATGGTGGGAACACATGGAGTCAATGGCTTACAGAGGCGGCAACTCTCACACCATGGGAGGAAGAAAGATTTTGATTAATTGCTTGATTCCAAGGGCTTATTTTCTTTATACTGGTATGTGCCTTACATTGATTGGGGAATTCTCCTTCATCTCTTGTCATAGTCCCCTTTTGCTGACTTTTGCTTCAGAGGCTTCCTCTGCTGCTTTTTTTTGGGCGGGTGGGAGGAGCGAGTGTCCACATAAATAGCACTGTTAGAATTAAAGCTTTTTTCATATAAATAGATTGGGAACAACAACAAGAAGAAAGCCCTGTCTTTTAAGATAAGAAATTACAGAAAGCTAAATGACATCTGCAGGAGCCTGCAGGAAGCAGAAAGTGGAAAGTCATTTTGTATTTCTGCCTCTTTGCCCTTTGACTGAGTTTCTTTCACAGCATCTTGAAACTGGTTTCTTGTTTCATGTATCCTTGGCATTTCTTCGAACTTCACTACTGCCTGTGCTTAGAGAATGTGAGCACATTGGTATTTCATGGACGTATTTCTTTCTAGTTTGTTCCTTTTCCAGGGCCTGGGAGCCTGCAGAAGGGTTATGGGATGCTCCCAACTTTCTAATCACAATTATTTGCTTTCTAGGACATTCAGAATTAGAGAATCATTTTGTAGTGCATGGACAGCCAAGGGAGTGAAGGAGGGGTGACTTCTGGGAGATCAGGAGTGGTCAGATGGAAAGGTCACAGAGGTCAAGACTGCATGGATTCCATATTCCCATGAATAAAAGGAGGAAGGAAGACACCCCCTTGCGTCCCCTCCCACTTACTCAATAGTTGAACTTTTACCATGAGGTGACATCTCTGTGGTTTGATTCCATTTTACTGATTAAGCTGCAGATCTGAGACATCCGTGAAGATAACCATGCCATGATACTCACCACACTATCTATTGGAGGTAGAGTTTTGAAAACTACTAAATGGAGAACACCATTTCGAGAGAGAGACAACTCTTTAAGATACTATTAGTCATTCTGTTCTTTAATACAGATGGATGGCTGCATCAGTACCCTCTGTGAAATCCTCATTTGAAAGTGGGACTAGCAGGAAGCTTTCGATGTCTAAGGGACGGGAGGGCAGGAAGGAAGCAGGGAAGAGTGAAAGAGAGAGAGACTATGAGGATGGCCACATGAACGAATAAAAGAACAAAAAGTGGAGGCCAGGCATTGTCGGCAGGCTTCAAAACTTGAAATAGTAATGGACGTCATGCTGACTAATCTCTCCCCTTAATATCCCACCCGAACATTCTATCCACGATCCCTCGCCATCTGATAAAATTTCCCCAGAATTGCAATATATAGACAGGTTTGCAATTATTATAAGTAAAAACTGCAACTCTGAATCCTTCTGACCTATTGGTATCACTATAGGAAAGCACAGGGCTCTACCCCTCGCTAAAGACACCCACTCATGGGCCCAGAAAATCGGAAAAACCTGTCTCCCCTAGGACTTCTTTCCTTGGTCTGTAGCCTGGGTCCTCTAAACTCTTCCTAGTCTTTCGTTCATCTGGAGGAGATGACTCTGGCTGGGTCTACCAAAGTCTGCACACTATGGTAGCGTAAACTGAAATCCTCCCCCTAACCACCGGCTGTGTGGCCTATGAGAAGAGAAAGCAACATTGAGTTGCTGGCAGGAATCACTCAACTTTCTTAAAGGAAGGAGTAGCAGGCACCTTGAAGACCAAGTAGGATCTCTGAAGTTCAAAGAACAAACTGTATTGAAGTTCTGGTTGAAAAATATGAATCACAGGGAGAAAGCAATTCTGTTTCACATCAACTTGCCAGAATCCTGAGCTCGTCCCCAGGCCTGGGGCACACGGGTTGGTGCCTCTTCTTTGGAGAGGGGTGAATGAAGACAGGCCTATGTGCATTTACATTTCCAAAGCGGTTCTGAACGTAATGACTATAGCAATGTTCATAATTATAGCAGGGGCATTAGAGTGCAGGTCATTAGAGTTTTCAAGGCTCTTTATCTCAACAGTCCCATGTGAGTGGCAATTCTTCTTCAAACACTTTTTTAAACAGGAAGTAAGGAAATAAAGCAAGTACCTGGAGAGGCCAGGTGACACTGCCTGAAGATAGACAACAAGCAAGCACAGGGGTCAGGATGACGGGATTCTCTTGGGGATACAATGACAGAGGAGCTTCCAGGGCTCTCTCAGCTGGGGGCTCTCTTTACTAGATTATAGTGTCTCCTAGAAATTCCAGTCACAAGGGGCTCGTACTTCCTTGGGTTTAATAAGAGAGAGGAGCTTGTCTTTAAAATGTTGTGAGACTTGCAGCTGCTACTTGAATCACCAATCCCAATACTCGACGTACCCTATCTAAGATTCTGTTCCAGAAGACTCACGGAAAATCTCATGTAGTGACGATGATGTCAGTGAGGAATTAAGTTCAGTTTCCACTTAGGGAAAGATCGTGAGAGGAATCGTCTTGGAGCTAGAAACTCCAGATTTGACCAAGATACCACTGAGGTACCTAAAGTCATGGTATTACGTATCTATCTGATGAAGCAGCCCCATCCCACGCTACTCTTTGTTCAAGCTGCAGACTAGCTCCTGATTTGTGACCGATGGCATTTCTTTTCAGAAAATACAGCTTTAAACATTTACGAAGCCAAAAACTATTTTTAACACAAAAAGGAGAAAGAAAATCGAACCAAGTATAAAAGGAATGAAAAATCAGGATGGGATATAGATCCAGAGAGCCTTAGTTTCAATTCTGCTTCTGCCCCATATTACCTGTAGTCTTGGGAAAATTACTGAACACCCTTCTGAGCTTTGGTTTCTTCCATATAGAACACAAGGATGAAAACATCTACGCTTCAGGCAGGGAGGTTGTCAAGATCAAATGAGGTGCCTTAGTCTGCTCATGCCGCCATAACAGAGTACCACAGATTGGGCATTTAAATAACAGAAATTTATTTTCTCACAGTTCTCGAGGCTGGAAGTCCAAGATTAAGGTGCCAGAGGGGTCAGGTTCTGGTGAGGGCCCTCTTCCTGATTTGCAGAGGGCCACCATTAGGCTGGGTCCTCACATGGGAGAGAGAGAAAGCACCAGCTCTCTGGTGTCTCTTTTTAGAAGGGCACTAAGCCCGTCATGGGGACCCCACCCTCATGGTTTCATCTGACCCCAGTCAGCTCCCCAAAGACCCATTTCCAAATACCATCACACTGGGAGTTAGGGCTTCAACACAGGACACATGAGGGGACGTGTTCATTTTACAATATGATGCAATCCTATGCAGGGCCTCTCAGAGCATCTCTACTGTTTTGGTTTAGCTACTATTTGTCCCAGGCAGGGCATCTAGTGGTGAGAACATCTTCATAAACGGATACATCAAAATAACAATTGACAAATCATTGACATTTCAACAATAAAGAAGCTCACACAATGTTTTTGAGAGAGTACCAGAAAATCCAGAAATCGCTGAGAATTCAACTGCACCATCTTTGATTACCAACTTCATTTAAAAGCCACTTAGCATTCACGATTGGACTCAATTCCTTGGGAAAGATATTTCACAGACATGAGTTCCCAGTGCTTGGACAGTGTGCAGGATACCATACTTCTCAAAATGTGTACAAAGTGCACAGATAGCGGAATCAGACTTTTGCACCTGTGTTTCTAATAGTGTCCCCTTTGGTTCTGTTACCTTTTTGGATCTCTGTTGTCTAACCTCTGCTGCCCGTATAGGTTACGGTGTCAGGAAGATCACAGGGAGAGCACCCAGCACAGTTCTTGGTACATAAATAGTACTCTCGTGACTGGGTTACTGGTGGAAAACCCAGCTTCTCATCCTGGCCTGGAGACCCTGGACAAGTCATTTAAGCTCTCTGATCAAATATTTCTTGAATTCTCCATTGAGGCTGGGTAGCCAGACTCCTTGGTTCTGGCATTTACTAGCTGTCCCAGTGGAGGCCAACTTCTATCATTTCTTTATGCCTCAGCTTCTTCAACTATAAAACGGGAATAATGGGCCTACGTGTGCATTCCTGATCTAGGGAAAGAACTCATAATGTGCTCCTGATGATTATTACAGATAAAGAAATGGAGCAAAGAGCAGAATAGTCAGCTCACAGAGCTAGGAGGTAGTCAAGGTAGGATCTGAGCCCAGGCAGCCGGAGTCCAAAGCCTGCGCTCTCAAGACTCCTCCGCTGATGCTTCTCTACCTTTTCATAAACCTGTTGTTAATATTGTTATTTTACCACTCAGAGTCTCTCTGTAAAACCTAGGTGTGAGATGTCTTTTGCAACTTGGTTGCAGGAAAAGCCTCCTCTCCCACAAGATACTAATGTTTCCTCTTTTTTGGAAACAAGAATTATGCAACTTATCATGTGTTCATTTTTGTCTTGGCTGCCAGGAAGCTCAGAATCAAACTGTGTGCTCTATCTCCACCACCAAGTTATTTCCTTCTTCCTATATCTTTGTTCCTTATTTTCCCTTTTAATTCTTTTTGTTTAAACTAACATTTTCATTTGTGTCCCTCATTGATAGAGCCCTCAAAATTATTTGGAAAGTGGCAGGTGGAAATGAAATAAGCAAACAGAGATCTGAAATTTACATGAAAACCTTAAGTTTCGAAACTTACCTGTTTCATTTGCTATAAAAATTAAAAAATAAAAAGGTCAACAGGAAATTAAAAGAAATCACTTAAGAGCTATTTTAAAGGAGAAAAAAGAAAACTAACAGAACAGAATGACCAACACCAAGAGAGGCCAAGTCAAATGAAAACCACAATAAATATGTCTGAGGCTAGAAGTGTTTGTGCTTTCCCTGGCTGGAACCTATCATTTCTTAATTATATCCTATGTGTGTTTTGCAAGATGGGAGCTGCTGTCAAGAGGAAGGACAGCCTCAGACAGGGGAGGAGCCACGACCCACCCCTTGGTCCTCACATACCTGTACAGAAGCGAAATCCCCCGAGGCACAGGCACCCAGAATAGCAGCGCCCACAAGAACAGACTCCACCTCTTGCGACAGGACCACAGGCATGCCTGCACAGGACAAGGCCACACCTTGGTTAGGGAGCCGGCCAGCAGCCCCAGCACCAGAAACACCTGACATGATGTGGCGTGAAGGCAGCAGTGGACACCCGCTCCCCGGTCCCCACAGTGCTCCGGTCCTTGGCATGACCTAATTTTAAAGGATTTCACAGCCTGTACCTGCTGGTAAGGCAGCCAGGAGCCCCAAGGGACCTGCCACCCCGTACATCAACTCATGAGACCTCTTTGCCCAGATCTCCCAGGCTTCTGCTAGCTGCTACCTGCCATTTGGTTCAAGTTTGTTTCAACAAACACTTCTGGAGTGCTTCGAGGGGCCCAGCGAATGCAGAGATGAATCTGACTCGGTCTTGCTCTTTGGGTCTCAAAGGGGAGGTGGATGAGAAAGAGATGACGATGGTGCAGGGGGTTGGTTCTCTAACTGAGATGCACTAAGAACAGGGAAGTAGTAAGGGGGTGTGATTAATCCCTCTGGCAGCTTCTTATTTCTCTGCGTACAAGCCAAAGCCCTTACGATGGCCGCCAAGGCCCTCCAGAGCTGGTGCCCACCCCGACTGTCGCCTCCCCTCCTGGCCACGCTGGCCTGGCCTCCATGTTTTCTTGAATCAGCTTTGGGGCCCTCACCCATGCTGTTCCTTCTGTCTGTGTCACTTCCTCCCAGATGCCCACACAGCAACTCCCTCTGCGTCCTTCGTGTATTTGCGCAAACACCCCCTTCCCGCTGCGGCTTTCCTGACCATTGGGTTTAAAGGGACAACTTACCCACGATACTCCTCATGCCCCCCCTGTTTCCTCAGCATCTTCCCACCCAGCATGATTACTTCTCTTGTTTACCATCTGTCTCCCCTGCTAGAACAGAAACTCCATGAGGCCAAGCACTGGGTCTCAGCCACGGCTGAATCCCTGGAATGGAGATTAGTTAACCAGGATCTAGCACATGGTAGGGGTTAAATGGTCAAAGAACAAATTTCCCGGAGAGGGAATGGAGGTTCATCACAATGGAGATGAGCGTTACGGGGGTATCTGAAGGACGAACAGTGGTCCACCAGGCAGCAAGAAAGCCCTCCGCATGCCGGGGCTCACAGTGGGTTTAAGGTGAATATAAAGAATTTAGAATTCTCAGGATTTTATATGTGTATATGTGTATATATGTATAATATAAATAAAATACATACAAAATATAAATGCATTTGCCAATCAGGAGATGGCAGCAGACTCCACAGAGGTAAGCTCTGTAGCCAGACCTAAAAGTCTTCCTCTACTCAAGACAGGAGACTGACTTTTCCAAACACTGGATTTGTCTTCCTATCTTTTCTGGGAAGACCTCCCTGACACATCTACCCCTGGGGTCCCACTACCTCCTGACTCCTCCTGCTACTCCCAGGCTGGGTCAGCAGCCCGGGCCACCCAGACAAAGGGTCAGGGAACAGAACTCCCGCACGCAGCCAGAGGGCTCATGAATACCAGCCCCCAGACCGCAGGGCCGGCACCCGAGTCTCTCCTGGAAAGTACAGGGGTGGGGTCTCTGTAAAAAGCTCAGAGCCAGTCCCACTAGCCCTGGGTCCTTCAGCAAGTTACTCATTTAACCTCGGTTTCCCAGTGTGTAAAATGGGGATGATAGTAAGACTTGCTGCACCGTTTGCGGTAAGGATTCATGAAAGAAGGCACACAGGGGGCTCAGCACATCTCTAGCCTCCGTCAAGCCTTTGGGAATGGTGGCTACTACCGTCAGAATGAAGACTGATGGTGAGTGAAGGCCCTCTACACATACTTCACTGGGCTGGAAACTGCAATGGTGGGGAAGGGACAGGGCAGGTGCCCATCTACCATCTACAGGGGAAGGACAGACACCGGGCCACATGGAAGGGCTGTGTTGGCCAAATCAGGAGAGCACTGCATGCCTTTGCAGAATCCAGGGATGATGCGGACAGGAGTGTGACTACAGCCGCCCCCGCGGACCTGGCACTTGTTAGAAGATCACAAGCACCTCCAAACACCTCCCAGCCCCTCCTGACCCTGTCAAAAGCCTAACTAGTTCTGAGCAGGGAGGAGTGACCTACAGTCAGTCCCCTCCCCTTGAGAACCGGAAACCAGAGTGAGCCCGATGAATCCCCCACCAGCTCTCTAGTTGCACCCTAAGTGCTCTGGAGCCAGACTGGAAGAGTTTGAATTCCGGCTTCCTTGCTGACTTAGCTGTGTGATCCTAGGCAAGTTACTGCACCTCTCTGTGTCTCAGTTTCCCCATCTGCAAAATGGGGCTAAAATTCCACCTCCCTCTAGGGCTGCTCAGAGGATTAAAAGTGCAATTGTAAGTAAGGAACTTAGAACAGTGCTTGGCTTAGAGAAAGCACTAAATTAGCATTAGCTATTAGGATTCTTAATATTGACCTGATCTCTAAAACCTCTCCTCATCCCTGCCATGGCAGGGGGAGGGGGGAGGGGGGACCAACTCACTGCTTCTGCTTCTCCTTGAGGTCAGTCCCCCCTCTTCCCTGCCCACCCCCAGCCTGCTGTAGGTCCCAGGACACTGGCGTGGGTAGACCTCACCCAGGGCTTGCTTGTCCTCATGGTTGCATCCTTGACCAAGCTCTAGTCCGGCAGCCTCTTCATGCAGCTGGTTAGGTTGGGTTGGTTAGGTTCCTGCTGGGCCCCTGCAAACCTAGGGGTGGTAAGACTGTGGGTGGCCCCAGGGGGCTGCCTGGTCATCGGGGTTTCCCTACAACCAGCCCACACCTCTGCAAACAGACCCTTTGTTTGACTTTTCTCCAAACTTCGAGTGTGTCATCTGTTCCCTGCCTGGACCTGACTCATACGGACACCAGCATCCCCTGGGTCCCCACTCTACTGTCTGGACACTGGGCAGAGTACCAAGAGCACTTTTTCTCTTTGCAATGACACTTTTGGCAGGACATTATTGTTCTTCTTTGTATCCCCCTGCCAAGCTCATGCTTGGTACACTGGTGTGCTCAGAGACGGCTTCTGAGTGAATAAATGGAGGGACAAATGATGAAAACAATGAATAAGACAGAAAGGGGAGAACCCTTGCTGTAACTGCCAGAGCTGAAAAAAACAAAATTCAGACAGAGGAACATTGAGTCCCAAGTCAATGGGGGAAACCTACAATTACTTAGCACACACCAAGTATTTCTTGAAACCACAGTTAAACTAACTGCCAGAGGTACAGGGAGATTCTTCCTCCTCACGTAGAAGACATTTTCCCAAGTTGGCAAAGCCCCATTCTCCCTGCTTGCACGGAGAAGCCTGCTCCCCAAATGGCAAAGATTTGCTTACAAAATATTAAACTGCTTTTCTTTTTTTTTCCCCTCAAACACACCTCTTTTTTTTTTTTTTGCATGGGGCTGCTTTAAGGGAAGAAGTGAACGGACATGTATTAAACACTGACTTTGAGCCAGGCACAGAGCTTGGTGCTCACAAACTCATGAGCAGGTACTCCTCAGCATGAACTATTAGAGGGAAATAATATTCTTTCTTTCAGAAGAGGAAAGCGAGGCTTGGGGAGAGGTGAACCAACTTGCCCAAAGTCACAGAGGGGATCCCCTGCTCTTTCCACGACTCCATAGTCTCCAAAGAACCTTCTAAATTCCATTGTGTTTTTGACAGGTATTCCTAAGACTCATGTAGGTCCATGGTCCTCTCTAAGCCTTTCTTTGCAGGAAAACCAGAGCAATTACAGTATTTAAAGGCATCAAAGACTCTACCTATACACCCACTGCAGTGTACGTGCCTTTTACAGGAACAAATGCAAATGTGTTCTTTTCTCTGAGCGGCTGGGTGAAGGAGAGGAAGAAGGCAGCTCTGCCTGGAATGTGAACTATTTTATCTGATGCATTAATGAGTTTAGCAGAACCCAAAGCATTTAAAGGCAGATGCACTTTGCCATCACTTGTCAGTCACAGCTTCCCAAAGCAGAGGAATTCCAGCCAAAGAAAAGGTCCCTTTGTCTGGAACTGTAACTGGTCCACAGCCAGAGACAAAGGGTCCAGTTTCAATCGGAATCCAAATAACGATGAACAGCCTTTTCATTCAACAGCCTGAAGAACGGTTTCCAAAGCAGAGCTTTCTGTAAAGCTGCTGTGAGTCAGCGCAGGGACGTGAGGCCTGGAAGAGGACCCACTTTCATTAAGGCCGGAGCCATGGTGCCCGGTCAGGACCCAGGGTCACTCACACTGCCCTGCTCCCAGGGCCCTGTTTCCCATTTCCCGCAGGTGATGTGTTAGCCAAGGCAGATCTTCTCTCCCCTCCTGCATCCCGGTAGGAAGGCTTCGTGGCTATCAGAAGGCTAGAAATTGGGAAGTCACTTACAGATCACATTTTAAATGTGAATCTTGTCCGACTGGCCGACTTTTAGATAAAATGTGGTTATCAGTTTTCTCTTGGGGAAAATTACAAGGTAATTTGGGCTCCTTTTTTTAGGTCTTTCTTCTTTCTGCCTCAGAATGGCCCACATCCATAGGCTGTGGACTCTTTGGTAAAGGAGAGTAATCATCACATGATTACGAATTGCTCAGAAAAGCTAAGAAACCTGGATGGGCAGTGCAGAGTAGGGGTTGCTGGGCCTAGACACTCCCAGGTCATGGTCCTGGTACCGCCCGTCCCCTCTTGTCTGACTCTGGAGAGGCAATTTCATTGATCTCCCTGAGCCTCAGTTTCTGTGTCTCTAAGATGAGGCACCAATTTCTACCTCTCAGCAGTTCATGAGGTTAAATGTATACAGAATGGCTCCAGCAACACACAGTGGGAACTTGGTTAATGGTAGTAATTTCTGTACTCAACATCCTGATATATTTACCCTTAGACTAGGTGCTTTTTTTTTCTGTACTGTCCTCTGGCTTGTGCCTCAGTCTACTTACCTCTATCTAAAATGGGGCTAAGTAATTTAATTAGTTGGATCTCACAAAGTGCAAGGGTTAACTATGCGCCTGACATTTGGTATAGCTCTCCTCTGCAGGGATTGGCAGGGTGTGAGGGGGCATAGGTGATAGGATGAGGCAGCATCAAGACTCACCCAGCTGTCAGAGGAAGGAATCCACAGGATGGGAGACAGTAAGAGACCATGACGAAGGGACGCCATTGAAGGATGGGCTCATGTCACGTTTGAGCTGGGGCTGTGGGCAGGGTCCATTCCCTTCTGTTTCCTTTCCCTTGTCCCACTCTGGTGCCTGGCCATGGTGGGTGGGTCCCAGGGTGGGGTGGGGAGGATGCCAGGCTCCAGGAGACACCAGGGGAGAAAGGAGCAAGAGACATGAGGCCATGAGTTCCAGAGGAACGGAAGTGCAGGCTCGGCTCTGTAATACCAGCAAGCCTCTGGCCAATGGGGTCCCCTTCTTAAGGCCCAGGGATCTGCACCAGGGATCCTGCTCTGCTGTGCTCATATCACAAAGGGATCAGCCCACGACTCTGGATTTTCTCTCTCTGTGTCAGGAGCTATGAAAGAATCACAGGATCTTGGGATCTCAGGGCTCAAATTCCCATCTGCAGCCAGACCCCTGCTCCCACAGCAGTTGGGCTCTGACTTCTTTCTTCAAGACAGCTTCCTTGTCCTTTCCTCCAGACCACTTGCCCTGCCCTGTCGCAGGTCCAAACCAGGGTGGAGGTACCCCACTATGTTTCCATAAAACTCCGTGCATTTCTTACTCTGAGCTCTTGCCACACTACATTTGCACATCCGTTTGTCCTTGTCAATAGACTTTGAGATCTTTGGGGGCAGGAGTCCTGTCTTACTCATCTCTGTCTCTTCAATATTCCCCACGAGCGTGCATTAGAAGAGGTGCTCAGACGGTTCCATAAATACTTAAGTTACGACCTAGCCCTTGCTGACCTTTCTCATCTCATTTCTCAGGATCATTCAATAGTTGGATTCACAGAGAAGTCACTTTCTCCAACATGACTACAAATACTTCAGTTATCATAAGGAAAAAAACATACATTTTAACCTAAAGATTCAAAATAATCTGGCACATACCCCTACACTCTGCTATTTCCAACCGTGTCCGGCTGTCAGCCAGGCACATTTACTGCCAGGCCCCAAACGACCTATTCTCTTCCTCCTCAGACTCACCTGTAACGTCCGCATGCATCTGCACAAAAAGGGGATTCTTGCTCAGGCCTCCGCACAGGAAAAGCGTGCTGATAGAGTGCCCGGCTGCCTCCATGGCCTCTATAATGAGGCGGGTGCCAAACTGAAAGGGAAGCGGCGGAAAGCATCAGTATAGCAGCACAAGGAAAAAGCTCTGGAACATTTACTAAGTGTTTGCCCAGCCCCGGACACCACACCGAGAGCTTCGCACACCCAGTCTCGGAGAGCTGAAGCTCCGAGAGATCAGGTTGCCTCTGATCACTGTTCATGAAGTCACAGAGCAGGAATTCCAACCTGGGCCTGTCTGACTCCCAAACCCTCTTAATTACTCTACCATTTGCTTCCATCAGTAGTTACACAACATTGACAAAAACAACTGACAATGTTCACACAGTTCATATTAACAGAGTTCACCGAAGCAAATATTTGCGGAGTGCCCACTGTGGGCCTGATCCTCCAGCAGGGACCGGGGATGGAGGAAGTGGCCGGGGGCGGGGGGGGGTCTCTGAGTCAGTCTTCATTCCGGAGATAGGAACTAAAGAGGTTTCTTCTTTGGAAAAGGGCACCCAATAACATCAGCAGCAGAAACGAGAAGAGAGCTCTAATCGCATGAAGTGAGAGTAAGACTTCAGACTGACAAAGGGCTAACCTGACCTTTATTATCACCTGGAACCAGGTGGTGGTTCTTCAGGGATGCTTCGGGAGCCAGAGCCCATTCTAGTCAGTCCTTCGTGGTCTGGGATGATGTGGAAATCACACCCTCTGGCTTGCTCAGTGTTCTGCCATATTTTCATTTCAGTCCTCATGTGCTAGGAACTCCCTAAAATGTGCTATACTCATCCTTGACTTGCTCAGTTTACTCAACTCAGTAAAAATCATGGATGCCTGGGAAAATGACACCACCGTAGGGTCGCCGGGGTGAATGTTAATGTATAATTCTTTAGGTTTAACTAGGATATGCAAACAGCTAAAAATCCTAGTTTATTTGCAAGTTCAAAAACGAGAAGCTCACGAGTCTAATTTACTTGGGGTCAAGGATTAAAACCAAAAAGATGAACGGTGACATGACTTTAGGAGGCAGCCACATGGCAATGGTTGAGAAAGGGGCTCTGGAGAGAAATGAGAGAGACCTGTTTTTTTGTGTTTTTTTTTTTTTTTTTCATGGAGAGAGAGCCCTTGAGATGTTTAGAGAGTTATTAATTCTGAGGGATGACACAGTGCCAGGTGTGGACAAGGGGGTGAGTTGATGAAGCGGAGGGAGGAGAAGGTCAAGGATCTGGGAGGCCACAGATGGGGCAGCCACCAAGAAGGCTGGGTTGGGGCTGGAGAGAGGATTCGAGTCAATGTCATGGATTTAGTGACAGTGTGACGGTGTTGCTGGGAAGGTGGTACCCAAGTGTGCAGAGAAGGGGTAGGAGGTAGTTTAGCATGAGGATAGGCTGTATCAGAGGCTTAACCAAAGTGAAGGAAGAGGGTTTGGGAAGTGGTCAGGATGTCCCCCTGACCACTGTCCCCAGGGGGTAAGATGTAGGGCAAGTGAAGCCTCTTTTGACCAGGCAGCTTAGAGGGCTGTCTCCCCCGTGCCTGAGGGTGCCTCTGGGAGAGGGAGTGGCTAGAAGGTGTTCTGGGGACCATGGGTCATGAAATCCTGAATGCTGTGGAGGAAATTATGAGAGATGAGTGGCAGTTCGGGAGCAAAAGCACAGCAGTTCCAGCCCAAAGGCCTTCAGCTATTAGCGAATCTGGTAAGAATATGGATTAGGTAAAACTTGGGCCTCCAAAAATAATCCACAGATGTAGTGTGTTAAAAAAAATTAAAACATGTTGTACCGTATAAGGCCAGATCCTGCTTATTGCATGCGGCTGATTACCCCCAGATGTTCTTTCATAAGCTTTTGGGGGGTCATGAACCCTCTTGAGAATATGATAAAACCTACTGACCTTTCCAGAAGAAAGTCACTTACAAAATAGCACTATAAATGATTTTGGGAGGCCTACAGATGCCCTTACATCTACCATGGATCATTCGGTGTCTGTGCATTGCAGGACAGCCTAGTCAGCTCGAGGGGCAGGAGTCCGTAGTAGCCAAGAGCATGGCTTTTGAATTCAAGAAACCTAGGATGGCATTAAGACATTTCACCTACTTCTGGGAATCCAACCTGTATCCAACCTTTCTAAGACTCAATCCTCATTTTTTTAAAAAAGTAATAGTAATATTATATTCATGGGTTTGAGAACTCTATGAATTGTCAGAAATGTTAACATGCAGAAACAATTTTAATGTGGTCTTACATTTGGCGAAATATTAGTATCTGCCTTGCACGGCTGTTGCTGGAGACAGTGTATGTACAAGACACACAGGAGTGCCGAGTACATGGAAGGGGTGTGGAAATGAGCGCTATCCTGGTTACTAGCTGTAGTCTAGGCACTCTGCTATGCGCTATCCTCGCTAATCTTAGGACAAACTCAAAAATTGCACCTTGTTTTCCCCATGTAGGAGTTATGGGATTTGCCTGAGGCAGTAGGGTCTGCCTTGGGAGAGGATAGCTGCACCCCCCACCCCGATATGCATGGAAATACCATGCAAAGTTGGTATTTCTGATACTTCCAAAACCACAGACCTGTGGCTCACGTGATTAGCAGGCCAGAGCGGAGGGTAACACAAAGCACATTCCCTTGGGAAAAGGCAAAAAAGTGTCAGAACAAGAGGCACTCCCTTGGGAGGGGCTGTGACAGCCTGCGACTCCCCCGTGTGGCATTGTTGGCTGGAATTTCCCACTCAGGCTGGCAGCTAGCAACAGGGCCTTCCCTTCGGGTGTCCCAGGCTCCACTCTGTGAAACGTTCCACCCTCCTTAAATGCCCTGCCACAGGGCTTTGTGCTAAAATGATTTTGTGCTCACCTTTCTGGAAAAAATGTTTTCACAGAGAAATTTAAATTAAAATTAGGCTATTCCACTGGGAATGTACAGAACCAAATGCAAATCGAGAGACTTCAAATGCAAAAAGGGTCTATTCTGGAAGGAAAGCTATAGATGAACAGGCTATGGATAAACTCGTTGTTTGACAAGTCTTTCAATTAAGTGTGATCAAGAGAGAATTTTACTTCATGGAGCGTTTTCGCACAGTCCCAAGTTAACTTCATTACAATATCTCTTTCATTCTATTCCTACAAAATACCAACCACAGATATCACTATAGAGAGCAATTTGTTTAACTTTAACCTATTCACAGCAAGTAGATGCTAGGGCAATATTCAGAGCCAGTGAAACAAAAAAAAAAATTTTTTTTTTCAAGTTGATCATCATGGGAAAATATCTGTGATCAGACTACTTCATTAAAATGCACATTTTTGCTTGAAAGATCAGCACAGCCTCGTACCTTTGCAAAAACGGTTTGAACCACTCACAATTCAACTGGCCCCACAATAAAGCCTTATCAAATGATCGGTCTTAAATTTCCTTCCCTTTGTGGTATTATAAAGGTCATTAAGACAATGGACAGAATAAATATGATAGCTATTAATACATGTACGACCCCTTAAATACAAGATTGATTTTCTGAGTGTGTGGTATTTGGGAAAATGGAGCTGGCTCCACCCAGCTCGCGCCCCGTTTAACCTCATTTATATATTCTTGGACTTCTGCTGCCGTGTTCTTACCAGGAAGGGGGCCTCTGAGAGGCAATCCCGGCCAAAATAACAACGTTTGCTAAGATGCGTACAAGAAAAACTGGTCTTGGAAATGCCTGAAAGCTGATTTTGCCCGTGTAGCTTTTACAAACATTTCAAAGAAAAATGCAGGTTGGTAGAGGGGAAAGAGCAGAAGAATGGGAGTGAGAAAGGTGGTTCTCGGACAGGCTCACGTTCCGACTCCACCATGCGCCCGCTATCTGACCCGGCAAGGTGGTTTTCCCTCTGTCTCGAAGATGAGGACAATCCCACCTACCACTGTGGGTAGGTACTCTGGTGCCTGGTACAGCAGGTGGGCGTCAGTGAAAGGGGACAGCCCTTATCATCATGGGACGGTGCCCCTTGGTCTGCCTCTTAGCGTGTACTCAGAGGATGAGCATCACACAGCTCTGATTTTCCATTTCCATGCAGTCATTTCATTCCACTCTAAGACTTTTCATACAATAGCACTGACTACCAGAAAATGAAAGTTTCTCAATACTTCATATACCTACTTTATTTCAGAAAGCCATGGCTTCCCATCCCAGCTCTGCCACTTACTAGCTATAGGAAATTGGGCAGGTTAATGAACCTAACTAAGGCGTACGTTTTTAATGTGTGGAATGGGGATGCTAATACCTACCTCACTTGTAAATATTTAGCACAGTGCCTGGCACATAATACCGCAAAACTATATTATTTATCATTATCATCATTATTACCATAAAACAGGATGACTAAATAATTGTCTTTACTACTGATGCACATTAATCTCCTCCATATTCATTTTACTCTTCACTCCCTCCATTCTGATAGATGCCAGAATTATCTGGTTTTGACCAAGTTCCCATAAATAGTGCCGGCTGATTGATTTCACTGAACTGGCCAAGCTATTAAATCAATGACAGTTGCTTCAGGAAGATACAGTCAAACTGGTATATAAACTGCAAGGACTGTTTCATCTCATCAAGTTGGCCTATTCCATGTAAGACTGTATGTTCCCTTCGTGGTTGGGAAGCTCTGTTCTCTTATCCCATCTACACAGTACCTGGACAAATGTGAACATAAGAAAATCACTTCTGTTAGTGATACGGATGTACAGGAAAAATGTATGTAGTTCCGTTATTTGAAGGAATAAGGCTTTGAAGGAAGTGGTATATAAAGAAACAAAATAACTGAATGGCATATAAGTATGTCCACAAAACATTAACAAAAAAACTTTCTGTGTGTCTCTGAAAAATAAATTTGAATCAGAATTCAGTGAACTGATTTTTCCTTTCTGTTGGTCCACGTTCTCTTACCAGAGTGACTAAGCCTCAATTAATTGTAATTTTGGGATTCCTCCCAGCTCTGAAACCTGGAAAGCCACGACCCATTCCTCCAAAAGGTACTTCCTAACATATGCACACATACAGTCTTCTGTGCATGTACCCCATTTTTGGATCACCTCGGGAGATTCCTTAGATCGAGATGTTTAAGCTTCTAGGATTTTGTTTTCATTTTGGATTGATCTTCAGTGTAGGACTTCCTAATGCGTTAAATTCTCCCCTCCTCTCCCTAACCATCCAAACCTCTCATTGAAGCAGCTAAATCTAAAAACAAACACTAAGGATGCTTACTATTTAAAGGAACCCTATAATGAATCCTTTTGCGAAGTGAACAATATCGTGTGTTTTGTAAGTTTGCGCGTTCTTAACATTGCCTTTCTTAATACAAGCATAAATGGCATCTGCTTCTACTTAATTGAACTTGGAAGACAAATTAAATAAATGACAAGTATGATGTTCAAAGACTCGAACTCCTTTCAGCTTTCAGCGATGTGAGGTGATTAGTAAAGCAGGTGAAGACCTTCATCAAGATTTCCTTCCGAAAAGACACATCTCTTTTTGGCAAGCTCCCTTTTAATTAACAATCTCTGTCACACAAGCACATGATGTATCTTGGAGGAGCATGCGGCCTAAGGTTTATTGATAGCCCTAAGTCTCTTTAAAAATGGCATTAAAGTGTCTTACAGCAATGGCTTGAACTGTGGCCAGGTACAGAATGGCAAGATCATCGAGGTCCTGAGACAGCTTCAACCCGGTGACCTGTAGGGATGAAGAAAAGAAAAGAAAGAGATGGCCAAAAGGAGCTGCCATGGATAGAGATAGTTCCCATGAAACACGTTCAGATGTGTTTTCTTGCCCAAACAAGTTCATATGCAAATCCCCTTTTTGTGAGCTGAACGTGAAATGACTACCAAATTGTTTAATCTCCAGACCTGGGAAAAACGATCATTTCTTCTCCAAGAGAAAGTGCCCTGCCTTGTATTAACAAAACAAAACAAATACTTTACTGAGATTGTGTTTGATATTCCTTAGCATGGAATTAAATGTCTTTCTTCCCCTTTAAAGAAAATGTTCTTTTAGGACAAACACCCATTTTCTTTGGCTTACAGAGATCGACATGGAGCAGTGGCTTCTAGTAAAAGATGATCTTACTCCGAGTTCTGCCGTTGTCAGAATTCAGTGTAACAGCATCCAGGGGGGATTCAGGGTAAGATAATATGTCTCCTATAAATGTTATACCTACTAAGGGATAATTTACAATCTGTGGTTTGCAAGGGAATCCCAGTAAAGTCAATCGGAACCACATGCTTCTATGGAGTGTGTCAATTTCTGAGAGATTTCAGAACTGAACAGGATGCTGGATTTGGATGCCTTCAAGACCTGTTCACAGTCCCTCCTTCACATCTCCCATTTACGAACGTCTTCTCTTGGGACATTTCTAGACGGCGAAGAACTGCTGGGTTCTTCAAGCCTACTAGGAATTTCATGGGCATCAATACCAGAGCTCACTTTGTATTTTCACATTACAAAATTAATTAACATAACCTATGCTTACTCAGGGCCTGCGGTGGGTATGATCCTGAGTGCAATGAGGTGGCGACAGGCAGCCTGTGTTCAAAGAGGGGGAGCTGAGTGGTCTACCCAGGTCCCTTTCCTTCGTCTCTCCAGTCCCATTTAATTACCCTTTCTAGACCGCACCCTGAGCCACAATGAAGGGGCCAGTGTTGACCTACTGCTGGGCACAGACACCATTCCATGGCCCAGACCAGAGACATGTCAGCACTCTTCCCCGACTTTTCCCTTCTTCCCTTATTTATGCAGTCTCCAAGTTTTGCCCATTTGCTCCCCCAAATCTTTTGTGAATCCATTCCTTCTCTTCGTGCTGTCACTCACTTCCTCAATCCAGGCCACCATTATTCCTTCGTGTGTGCTGAAAGGGCCCCTTTTCTAATGGTCCTCCTCTCCACATGGAGCTAGTAATTGTTCTCACAAGCAAATCTGATCATGTTACTCTGTTAAAAATTCCCTGTTGCCTTCATCTCGAGACATAAATGCCCATGCTGTTTTAGGTACTTCCTCCCAGGCTTGCCCCTGCTTACTTCTCCAGCATCTGTACAAACCCTTCCTCACTTAGTATCCTTTGCTGCAAGCCATTCTGATTACTCATGGAAGTCTGTTCATGCAGGGACTCCTGAATTTGGTAGAGCTACCTGCTGATAATTTCTCTTGGCAAATAATTGGGTAATCAGATGAGAACTACGCCTTTGATTTTAACACACAGGAACACGGAAGGTCTGGGTGAGAGACCAGAGGGGAATTCTGGGTAGGCATCCTCCCAAGGCAATAACTCCATGAAGGAACATCCTTTGTTAAGTTCCCCAGAGACCTCAACATACAGTAAAAATGCTGGAAGGAAGGGAGAACATGAACACTGCTGACATTATAGAAGTTCACTTCATAACATGCGTAAGGAAATAACGTGCCCCAGGGAACACAGAGGATGGAAACCGGACCCTAGCTGTTCCGACAGACTACCTGGGATACTCACGCATCATCTGCAATGCCTAGCACTGTATCTGGCACACAGTAGGCATGAAGTAACTATCTGTTGAATGTGTGAATTAGTGACAATGGTCTTTTTTCCTTTTGTATACCACTGTCTTTCCTAACATCCTAGTCTTTTGTGTCCAATTCCATGATTATGGGACGATCATGTGTACCACCTTGGCTCTTCATATATTTGCAGAGGGGAGGGTCATTTGCTCCATGCCCCAAGAGAGAACACTGGAAGATTACTTCTAGTTGCTTATTCCAGGCTTTCCATGCCCCCTCCTCTCTACACTTAGCTTTCCTCATCACAGTGGCTTATACGGGATTGGGGTAAAAGGAGTGTCCCTGTAGCTCATATGGAACCTTTGTGTGAATTAGATAAAAGTTCTCCCTCCAGGCAGACTAATGCAGAAGGCATCCCATCTGGGAGAATGAACTATGAAAAGAAGCAGAGTGGACAGGATCCCAGCCCTGTTGTATGTCCCTTCATGTGAATGTGTGATCAACCAGCTCCATGGCATGCAATGGTCCTGGATAAAGATCACTCATCATGAATGGTCTCTCTCTTCTGTACTGGCCTGGCCTCAACAGCGTCTCTGCTGCTTATCTACTAGGAAAGCTAAGTGGGCCCAGGCCTAGACCTCTCATCTAGAGCCAGCGAGGGAGGCAGGCTACCTCTGGCTCCTCTCTGGTCATGCCTGCGATGTGAATCAAGCCATGATCCTTTGTGGACTGCGTATGTGTCTGCTTAGCAGACTCACATCTCCTATAGGTGGGTCCTGAAGACCAGATCTGGGTAAACTGTGATGGAATGGGGAAGAAATTTGACTTTGTGTATGAGATTAATTGACTAGGAACCCCAGTGCTGTGTATAATATTGATCAAGTAACATTGATAAAGGAGGATAAAGATATCCTCCTTGATTCGTAAGAACCCATAAGGCAGAAGGAGTACAATATCACCAGATTTCATTTTCTTCATCCCCATTTCTTCATTCATGAGAACTTCCCCAAAGTATTGGTATTCAAGCAAAAAAAATATCATCGCCCCTTCTCTAAATGTCTAGTGCCTCTAGAGCTCAAAAATCACAGAGGAGAAAAGAGAAGATAGTTACTTTTCGCCAGAAACTGAGAATGAGATCATGTAAATGAGCACTAAATTTAACTCCTGAGCTTGCTAGTAGCTCCAGCAAAAGGGACATAGGATGGGTGACATCGCTTTTCTTTTTCTGATAAATAGAACATACCTCGCCTTTATGGAAGAAAATGTTACTCTAGGGAAGAAGGTACTCAGCAATAAAAGGCAATAAGTAAGCACAGCCCTCCCATAGCCACCTCTAACATCTCCTCACCATAAACACCAGGGCCATGGAGTTGAAATGTGACCCAGTGAAAGACATTTCTCTCTAAAGTTACTATGGTTCGGGGCCCTCTTGCTTGATATCTCATCTGATATGCAGGTGGAGACTCTGGAAGGGCAGGTAATCGTTAATTCCATCTGAGCTTTCTCTCCAATACTAGGGACCTCAGCCCTGCCTTGGCAAAAGTCAAATGGCTGTCGGCCCAAGATAAGAACTTTCTTAGGAGTGCCTGCCATGTGGACCACTCAGGAGGCTACAGAGACCCTTTGGGGAGCCATCTTGGCAGGGAAGTGACAGCCGCACCCCGGGAATGCCAGGGATGTGCTGGGGGACGTGCAGCTTTGTAACCAGGGAGAAAGCCAGGATGTGACAGATGAGCAGATACCCCATCTGAGGGCTGGATGGTTCCATCCATAAGAGGAAGTGGGAAGAAAGCATAGATGGAAGCAGCGTGTTTATAGAAGATGTGCATGCCTATTTTGAATGTTTGGGTAAGACAGTGAAATGTGTGGGGAAGCCCCATGGGAGAGTTGTGCTGGTAAGCACATTTTATTTATTTTGCTATTGTGTAACGAGGAGAACTGCAAGAGAAAACACTTATAATTAATATTTAGAGACATGTGATCTATATGGTGGCCAAAGAAATGCGAACTACGATTGATGACGCCAACATCCTAGATAATGGTTATAAAATACGTAAATCTTGGGATTTTTGAGCTTGGAAGAGATGTGTGGGGGAATGGAAAGATGACAAGCAATGAAGACACCAAGGTTCAGATCTTGACATTCTCCCAACTGGCTGCACAATGGTGTGTTTTGTGACCTTTCTGAGCCTCAATTTTTCTTTCATTTATGAAATAGGGATAATGATGCCTCAAGGCACTTTTGTGAAGATTAAATATCATTTGCAAAGTGTCTTACTTTTTCAGGAAGCTAGACTGAGTCTACAAGAGCTAAACCCTTATAGTGACAACTCTGTGAGCGTAGGTGGCAATTAATGTTGATTTTCTTTCCCTTTCTCTTAATAAATGTGCATTCTCTTTCTCTTAAATGCATGAAGGGTTCAATTCCATTTATTAATTGGAATGTGGCAATAAGGCATCTCCTTCAACATGGTATGGGTACCCCCAGGGTATTAACGAGGGGCACTGAAGACTAGTGCATATACGGCATGGGGAAGATAGGGCAAAAGGCATGTTGACGATCAGCATCAGGATCATAATATTAAAGATAAGAACATCAAAAGTGTGGAGAAGCAGTATGCCCCTGATCAGTGCCCAGGGATAGGATGATGGGGGACACACTTGCAAGGACTCCTTAGAGGAGCCTTAGTCCTTATCAACCTACACACTTCCATTCACTCTGTAAATAGGAAGGACAGATGAATTTCACCCTGGACTTCACCTCAAATCTTGCTGCCACTTAGTAGCTGTGAGAGCTTGGGCATGTTTCTAGCCCTTTCCCAGGATCCTAGCTGAATGGAGATTTTCTGAGCTCCAACTCCAGATTTACTGACTCTTTGGTGTGGGCCCAGCAATTTGCATTTTAGCAAGTCCTAATGCACAATAAACCGTGGAAATAATTGTCCTTAACCTTGGCATTGTGAATTATGGGTTGGTAGGTCCTAAAATATTGAAATTATTTAAAAAATGTAGTAGTAATTTAGTTAGCTAATTTTTTTTCCTTCTTAATTGTTAAATGAATTAGTTATATTTGTTAGTAAGAAAAAAAAAGCTTAGAAATAAATTCTCAAGGGGTCTCTAAAGATTACAAAAGACAAGAAAACAGGATCCCCAGTCCTGAGATTTTCTAGGGTCATCAGAGCTTGGTGGGGTATCCAAGGCTCAGG